ACACACACACACACACACACACACACACACACACACACGCACACGCACACATACACATATTTTTTGATTGACAAAAATAAATCAATTGACCAATAATTTAACCAGTTAAAACATAACAAAGTTCGAGAAAAAAAATCAGCTACATTCATGCAACAAATATTATGGTACTTTTGATAATGTAAATGCTCAAAGGGCCATTTTTGGCTCCATTTGAATTAATAAACACGTAATTAATTTACTGATTATTGAATAACAATCATCAAACACACGCACACATACACATATTTTTTGATTGACAAAAATAAATCAATTGACCAATAATTTAACCAGTTAAAACATAACAAAGTTCGAGAAAAAAAATCAGCTACATTCATGCAACAAATATTATGGTACTTTTGATAATGTAAATGCTCAAAGGGCCATTTTTGGCTCCATTTGAATTAATAAACACGTAATTAATTTACTGATTATTGAATAACAATCATCAAAATGATCCAAATAGGGCCATATTGCCAACCTTGCTCAAGAAACCCACCAGGGGCTGTGTGGAATCTTTCCATCAGCTTTTGATCAGTTTACCTCATAATTACTCGTAAAATATGCACTTCTGTCATCTCAGAACCGTTTGTATGCATTATAAAAAAAATTAACCCGCCTGAGATGAGTTCAAGGAAACATGTTAGCTTCATTTATGAACAAAAAAATGGGGAAAAAATTGCAATCTGTTTTTCCCAACAGTAGTGAGCTCACATGGATTGATATGTAGTGACCACGCCCCTCCTCCAAGTACTCTTGCTGCTTGTGCGATGGAAACAATTTTGAGAACATTTGCGTTGTTTTTAATGAGGTTTCTGGAAGCCATCACGGTCCCGCCGTTCCCTGGAAGTTGGCCTCGATCTGCTCCAGCGTGCGGCCTTTAGTTTCCGGCACAAATCCAATGGTGAAGACCACACTGAGGAGGCACATGCACGAGAAGAGCCAGAAAGTTCCCGCACTGGTGAGGAGAGTCTGGAAGAGAATGGGAGAGCCTATTACAAAATGGCTGACAAGTGACGCGGGGGGGTTGTCATATCCAGCAAGGCACATCAGAAGCACTGACATAAATTTTAGTTGTTCTGCAAAATCATACAGTGATAACCTAAGTGGCTAGCCAAAAATGAATGCGCAAAGAGTGATTAAGTAACTCACTGGCTAAACAATTATCTACACAGCAAACAAATAAACTAAGTAGCTAGTAAAAAAAGGAACATGCACGCTAACAGACCAAACTGTGAGCTACCAAGCAAAGAACAAACTAAGCAAACATAGAAACAAGGGAAAACACGACCAAAGACATGAACTCACGAACTGGCGAAAAAAGCACAAAGCAGACAAACACAATGACTAGCTAGCCAGCCAGCCAGCTAGCTAGCTAGCGAAGAGAGCGATTCGTAAACAAACGCACATTGACAAGCTACGAGTAGCCCAAAAAACGAACTAACTCAAACAGAAAAGAATAAGTGAACAAACTGAATGGATAACTCGCTAGCTTACTGAATGGGTAACTTGCTAGCTAAATGCGAAGGAAGGAATGAGCAAACAAAGGGACTAACTGGCTACCTGTCGAACTAACTCACAAAGGCAGCGAGGAACGAGAACCAACTAATAGGCTAGCTAACTCACAAAGAAGAAAAAAAAACCCAAGATTCCCAATGAACCAACTTAGTAACAAAAAGGGATGAGCGAACTTACACAAACAGACAACTAACGACTGACCAATTGACAACCAAAGACAATAATGAACAAACAGACGACTTTTAGCTAAGCCCCCGGTGTTATTGTGCTTGGGTGAGGCTGGACTGTTGGTCGTGAAGACGGTGCATGTTTGGGAGCTGACCATCATGTCCTGGAAGCTCTTGGTGACGACGAAAGCCATGCCCCAGTTGGTCAGCACGCAGACGGAGCTGGCGAAGCCGCGAACTTTCACCGGGAAGATCTCGGACATCACCAGCCATGGGATGGGACCCCAACCCAAAGCAAAGCCTACGCATGCACGCACACAAAACACACGCTACTTAGCGGAAGGAAGACAACAAATCTAATGTAACTCACCATGGGCGGGGGTGTTTTCCTATTGAATTCCGATTCCACGTACGCAATATGCATCAGAATGCTAGTCTTTCGACAAGTAGTGGCATATAGAACATATTATTTTTGAGTTGACTTCCCCTTGAACTAACTAACTATCTCGCTAAGTATCCAGCCGCACGAGGAGGGTGGTCGTGTCGTTTGAGGCTGCGCGTCTGACCCGTGATGAAGACGGCCATGCTGGTGAGGGCCAACCAGGCCATGTTCGTGTGATGTTCCTCCGGAGAGGAGCTCCTGGACATTAAGAAGAAGTAAAGCCCAAACGTCGCCGTGCTGATCACCATGGCCACGCCTAAAAACGCAAGAACAACCATATGGTGGAGAACATCACATACGTGCGAGTCATTAGCAAGTTCGGAAAAGTGGCCACTCGAGTCGGACCTCCAGTCAAGTCGCCTGACTCGAGTCCCTCACATTGAGGACCAACGCCTGTGATGTCATGATGTCCACAAGCCGATCAACGTCGACAGAAGATCACCTGAAATGACGAGCAGCACTTTCCTTCCGGCTTTGTCCATGACGAGCGCCGCCACGCCGGTGAAGACCACCTGAACCGCGGCCACCATCACCGAGGCCAGGTCGCTCTCCTGAAGCGCACCGTGACATCGTCACCGTCGTCAACATTTCAAACTTCGCTTGGGTCGGCCAACCTTGAAATGCGCCTGCTCAAAGATGTTCTGGGCGTAAAACATGACGGCATTGATGCCCGACATCTGCTGGAAGAACATCAGCATCACGCCGATGGCCAGCGGCTTGTAAACGCCCGCATCCTTCAGGTCCGACGCCTGGAAGCTGGAACTCTGCCCGAGAGACGGTAGACAACGACATAACCGACGATGTAGAGGATCAACTACAAAGCCAATTCCAATGAAGTTGGAAGACATATAAAGTAGAAGACAATGATTTGCAAATCCTGTTCAACCGATATTTCATTGACTACACTACAAAAGACAAGATACTTAAACTTCAACCCGATCAACTTCGAATTTTATGGCAAAAAAGCTGGGGCAGGGTCACGTTGACTGCTGCGCGACATCACCATTTCTTTGAACAACATTTCATAAACATTTGGGAAACGAGGCGCTTTGGAGGTGGAATTCTTTCCCATTCTTGCTTGATGTACAGCTTCGGCTGCTCAAGACTCTCTGTTGTCACATATTACGCTTCATACTGCGCCGCACCTTTTCAATGAGAGACAGGTCTGGACTGCAGGCAGGTCACTCGAGTAGCCGCACTGTTTTCCTACGAAACCAGGCTGTTGTAACACGTGCAGAAGGTGCTTTGGCACCGTCTGGCTGATATAAGCAGCAGCGTCCATAAAAAAAAAAAAAAAACGTTGCGTATGAAACTTTCAGCACCTTGACAGATGTGTAAGTTCCCCACGGCTTTGGCACTAGCATAGCCCCGTACCATCACAGATGCTGGCTTTGGAACTTTGCGTCCATAACGGTCCGGATGGTTCCGTTCCTCTTTGGCCCGGAGGACACGACGTCCACAATTTCCCAAAACTCGCATGTACTCGTAGATAAACAACTAATGTAGATCACTCCATAAATAACAAACGGTGCGATTGTGTGGAGAGGCGAGTTGCGTCTCCAATCACATATTTTGTTTCCTGTGGTGTGTGCTCATTCGCCAAAAGGCTCCCTGGCCCTCCGCGCCACGCCCCCGCAGCCACCGGCAGGCTCTGCCTGTTGGTCGCAGGCCTCCTCGATGCGGGCGCACTCCCACTCCACAGCCGCATGAGGCCCCCGCAGGAAGCGCAGCGCCTCCTCGGCCTCGCGCCGCTTGCCCTGCAACAGCAGGAAGCGCGGCGTCTCCGGCATGAAGCACATGGACGAAATGAGCAGCGTGGGCGGCACCGCCCCGCACACCGCCAGCCAGCGCCAGTCCACAAACAGACCTGCAGGCGGCCACATTGACACCGCAATGACTGGTTAATTAGTGGCTGGGAACTCCCCCCCCCCCTAAAAAAAGGGGTGGGGGGGACATATGAGCAACTACAGGCTCTACGAGGCAAGAAAAAAAAAACTTATGTGAACATAATCTACTTTCGGCAACGGAGACTTGTGCGATTTGCCAGCCGGCAGCCACGTACCAGCCAGGTAAACTCCCATGATGCCCAGCACCACCATCAGCTGCACGCACGAGCCCAGCATCCCTCGCACGCGTTCGTGGGCCATCTCAGAGATGTACAGCTGAGGAAGAAATGCACAAGATGGACATCAAGGGACGGGAAGCCACAGCAAAAAGTCACTCAGCGGTTCATGAGGAAAGGCTCATAAGAGGGAGACAGAAAACGGGGGACACCAAAGTCAAAAGAGGAATGGAGGGGTGATGCAAAAGCGGACGGGAAAGAGGGATAACCAGACGTGAAGAGAGAAAACAAGAAAAGAAAGGGAATAAGGGAAGAGGCGGAGCAAGGAGCGAGGAGAAAGCTCATGAAGGGACAGAAAACAAGGAGACAGAAGACGGGAAAGCAAGTCAACGGGAAGAGAAAAAAGGGAAGAGACAAGAAAAGCGGCAGAAGGAAAGCGGAGCAGTAAGGAAGAAGACACAAAAAGGCGACAGGGGAGAACAAAAGTGAGCAGTGGCAGCAACGACGTCAATCATTAGAATGAAGAAGAAGTGAAGAGACGGGCAGCAAGGCAAGAAGTGGCTCAACGGGGAGTCTGACCGGCACGACGAGCGAGGCGCCTCCGCTGGCGAGCCCCGTCAGCACGCGCCCGACGTAGAGCATCCCCACGTTGTGGGCGGCGATGATGACGGTGAAGCCAAAGACGAAGGGCAGCGAGCAGAACATGAGAGTCAGGTTCCTGCCCGCCTTGTCCACCATCCAGCCGGTCAGCAGGCCGCCCGCCGCCGCCCCCAGCGTCACCACCGACTGAACGCGGGGCGGACAAGCGCGGCGTCAGCGTGGAAATCCAAAACCAGAACCGCCCCTGTCACGCGCCGCATCGGGCCAGCCGCTCCGGTGACGTGCGGCGACGCGCTTACCCCGAACCAGGACGCCTGTACGGCGTCCAGCCGCAGTCGGGGGTCCGGGCTCCCCGCGAGCTCAGGGATGGCGGGCGAGCTGTAGCCCAGCACGAAGCCAAAGCTCATGGGGCCCAGCACGGACGCCAAGGTGGCCAGGTACAACTTCCTGTTGCTGACTTTGCTGCACAGGGAGGAAAGGGGAGGAGGCAAAGGAGCACGTTCATGATTAGCGCTAAGCAGGACAACTCTACTTGATTGCATTAAGGAAGTCATGAGGGACCTCAATTCAATCACTCAGGTCGCACACGTTGTCGACTTTTCATCATTTTTGCACACAGCCCCTGCGGTACTCATTTTGGGTTTCAGTCACTGGCAGTTCTTGCATTTTTTTAAACAATTATGACTAAATGCTGTTTTTTTTTTCTTCATTTTTGTGAGTAAACGAAAGCCCAATATTACATTGACATAAGATTTTTTAATTACTTCCATGTAATAGAGAGACCGACATGATGACGTTTAAATTGATCCTAGGTGCTTTTGTTTCAGGTCGAAAAAAAAAAAGTCAACTTACTTCTTTGGTATTTTTCCCAATTACAAATGTCGTAATTCATTTCTCTTGCTTACCTAAGATAAGCGTCCTGTTCGGAAATGAGCCCAGTGGGATCGTCATCATCTCGACCGTCAGCATCCAGGAGTCGCCTACCCTCCGGTTGGATTTCCATGGAGACTTTTCCCTTCAAACCCTCTCGAAATAGCCCCGGTGATGTTACGCGTGTCTCGTTCGCAGGTGCAGCGGTGGCATTTATGTGCTAAACGGCTTAAATACAGATGCAAATGTGAATACAAAACTTACAATTCATCAAATAATCACGAGGCTAAGTATAAAGGCGAGCATATGTGACACATTCCGGCGTATTGAGGAGTTTGGATGACCCTTTTCCGGGAGGGAAGTTTGCTTCGTCAACAATCCAGTCAGCTGATCACAAGCACGTCTTTCATTTCCGGTTTAGCTTTTCAAATGAAAACAGACCTGTGCGAAAGATAACGGTTAACTCTGCCTTTGCTGGGCATTATTGACATTTACCCCGAAAATGTACTTACTTTTACACCATAAATGTATCTAAACACGAAATATTATCCCATTTGAACTCTTTATTACAATTCATTATCAACGAGGTGTTTTATTTTGCTAGTCATAACTACGACTTCTACTGCCAACGCTCATTCTCGTTTTATTAGATTTTCGTGTCTTTTCTAAGTAAAATGTGATTTTAATTTCGGACGTGTTTGTCTTTTTTTATCTTGATTGTGTTATCTTGTTATTCGGGAACGCCGCAAGTTACAATGGAGATCGGTTACTTGAAAATTGCGAAAAAATGCAAACGGAAAGTAATTTGTCAACATGGACGATTCCAAGAGGATGATTGAAGCGAAGGCGAACACAAATTAAATGTGTTTAGTATTTTTTTTTAATTAGCTCTGCTCGTGTGAGTATTGGACTCAGCATAATTCAGCTGTAATGCCTGCTGAGTGAGTGAGTCAAAATGGTGACGTCATAAATTAATCGACTCTTATCAAGCGAAACAACAAGGACACAATAAGAGCAAGTAGAAAAACTGCTTCTGGTTACTCTGCACTTTAACACTCGCATGCAAATGACATCAGCGTTGATCTCACCCTTCTGCAATCACAACTTCAAGTAAAATGCAAACGTAAGCTCATTTGTCAACATTATGAACACCTCTGGGGAGGAGGGTGGGTTAACCCAAAGTGAGCCCAAATTGAATTCTTTTGCCCTTCAATGGCACTGATTGCTAACTCGGGGCTATCACACACTTGTACTTCACATGCCAGACCAACAGGGGGTTCTGTCGGACAAAGATACACTGGTTCGTACGATCCATTGAATACCCCGAATGTCAAGTAGGATCAACAAAGCGGCCCCGGATGTTATATTTATAAAGTTGCATCGCTCATTTCGGCTTGTAGCTACCCTGTAAAACAACAACTGACAAAATACCATAAGCTAAGGCACATTTTTCATACATATGATTGTCGGCACATCGGGTCAAAATTTGATGATTTTTCAAAGGACTGTAGGGTCCCGTCTTGAGGTTGACGTTCCCTTTTTACATAATGCTACTACAGTATGTCTAAACTACAAGATGTCTTGTTTTACGAGATTGTAGCACCTAAAACTAAAGTTCCTAGATCTTGAGGTGGCTCTAGGAAGCTCTGTGTGTTCGGAGCATGGGAAGTATTTCCGATATTTAGTTCTGGGGGAATACATCTTTGCAATAGAAAAGCCTGCAGATGACTTTTGAGAAGTCGAGGACCCTTTTGGGAAGCACCGACCACATTGAATTCAGAAGCTTATACTGCGGAATGTCACTCAGTAGCGCGCAGACCTCCGCCAAGGCCCGTCAGCCGCCAGACCCCGGTGTAAGCCGACCTTGGTGTTAGCGGAACGAGTGAGTGCGGCATGACGAGCAGCTGCACTAACAGTTGACGGCGGCGCGGCTGTTAGCTTCTGTCGTCTCCGGGCGGGGAAAGTCCAACGTCAACAAAGAGAAAGTCATCATGTGTTCATGCTTGGAAAAGAGTTTTTTTTTTTTTTTAAACATTGGAAAATATGGAACTAATCAATCATCTGTTAGAAAAGTTGTGAAAAAAAGGTTTTTATTAACTGTACACGCTGGGTCACATTTGAACAGTGTTAATGGTCATACAAGTATTTAAAAAAAAAATTACTGTGAATGACAAAACATAAGAACAATTGAACAGTCGTTATCACTCGGATGATAGATGGGGGGGTGGGGTGGGGGGCAATGGATGACCAGGTTGCAACGGATGCCGAGAAAAGAAGACATTTTCATAGCGGCGCCTCCGAGAGGTCGAGCTCGATGGTCCCTTGTAGATGGCAACAGCAATAACGTCATTCATGCCGCCCCCCCTTGTGCTTGGAAATGAGTTTTTCGTTGATAGGATGAGTCAAATAATAGATAGAGCACAAATCCCAACGGTGTGACGAGGCATTTGGGAACGAGCGCTTGCTTCCCTGAACGGCCCGAGAGAGACCACCAAAGCCGAGCGGCAAGACGTGAGCGAGCTTGCGAATGTTTGGGGAGTGAGCGGAGCCAAACCGCAGCGCTGCCGTGCCCGAGACAAGTGTTTGCGGGGAAATGTGAAGTTTTCGTCTGGAACGGGAGACACCGACCTCATCTGACAGAGCTGACGTAATGCTACACTGTGATTGCGCACGTGCGGGCTCACCGTTCGGTCTCAGTTTCTTTCGTGGGGCGGGGGACATGCGCGGCGGCGGCGGCGGCGGCGGCGGTGGCCGGAACGTCGCGGCCCTCTCGTTCGTGCTCCGAGGATGTAAAAATCCGAAAAGCTCCCCCGAGATGCGTAAATTAACGGCAGAAATGAGACATTTAACGGGGGGGTACAACAAAAACACCCGCACGCGCCCACGTTGCTGCTCCTGTGCCAGGCCGACAAGATGGTCGGCGTCCAGAACTCATCAAGAGTCTTGGCGCGCACAAGAGGAAGTCCGCCAATCAGACAGACGGGCGGGCGGGCTGACGTTTGGCTGTCCGTCCGTCTCCCCGGAGAAACATTTCATTGCAGACAATTTATCCATTTTGGAGATGTTTGCTACTCTCACTGACTCGCCAGTCACTTTTACTGGGGTGGTTGTGCACGTGTGTGTGTGTGTGTGTGTGTGTGTGTGTGTGTGTGTGTGTGTGTGTGCGCGCGCGCGCGCGCGCTCAGCCACCATTTTGTTTTCCTTCCCCTGCTGCACCTTAAACGTTCCAACAGCTGAACAAGAAATGTCGGCCTCGCGTGCCTTCCCTCGTTGGCTCTCCCTGCCTTACTTCCATCCGTTCATCTCCTTCAGCTTGCTGATGGCGGTGCCTTTGACGGGCGCGCAAGGCGGCGGGGAGAACGTGGGCAACGCGGGCGTCTTCTCGGACGCCGCGAAGGCGTTCAGAAGCGAGCGGCACGCTGACGTCGCCGTCTTCTTCTTCTTCTTCCCCTTCCGCCCCGTGTCTTTCTTTTCCGGCGCGTCCTTCTTCTCCGGCGTGTCTTTCTTCTCCTTGTAGGAGGCCGGTGACATGCTCTGCGGATGCGGGCCCAGACACGGACGGTACGTCAGGGGGAGCAGGAGGAAGAGATGAAGAGGAGGCGTGGGGAAGAGGAGAGAAACCGAGAGCAAGTGCAGTCGTTGAGGAGCCGGTGGAAGAGGATCAAAAGGAGGAAGAGGAGGAAAAGGAGCTGGGTGAAGAGGAAGTGCAGGGGGGGGAGGCGGTGTGAGGAGGAAGAGGCCTCCTCGTGGCTCCTCAATGAAGTGAGGAGCCACGAGGAGGCCACATTTGGAGAAGAGGAGGATTCAGAGGGGCACAAGTATGCTGTAGCAGAGAAGGAAGCAGGAGGGAAGTGAAGCGGAGATGGAGGACTGCAGATAGATGAACAGGAGGAGCGGAGTGGGGGGGGGGAATCGGCCAGGAGAAAGAGGCGAGGGGAGTGGAGAAATGAAGGACAAGTTGAGGAAGAAGCGAAGTTCGGGAGGAGAGAGAGAGGAGTGAGGATGAAGAAGGGGAGGAAACGGGCCAGGAGGAGGAAGTGTCCGAAGGAGGAGACGGGAGGAGGAAAAGGAAAGAGGAGAGGCGCAGGAGGTGAAGAGGAAGTGAGGGCCTGAAGAGGAGGGAGAGGAGCATTGAGGATGAAAAGGAGGAGAGGAGGAGGCGGGAGGTGAAGATGACGTGCAGGACTTGAGGAAGTGAGGATGAAGAGCGAGGAGAAGGAAGCGGGAGGGGGAGGAGGAGGAGGAGGAGGGTGCCAGGAGACACCGAAGCGCGACTCTTGGATGAGGCAGCGCTTTGGCCTGTCCAATCGCCCCCCCCGCCCCCATCCCCCTCCCCCGCCTTCCTTTTTTTTTAATCTAAAAAGGGGGCCACGTACACAGCAACACAGCGTCCAGCAGCTGAGCCTGGCGGCGTTGCGGCCCGAGCCGGCGTAGCGGTTCTTCTTGGGCAGCAGCAGCACCAAGGACACGGACAGCGACAGGTGGTAGAAGCTGTGCACGTAGGCGTAGTCCCACTCCTGACACACACACACACACACACACACACACACACACACACACACACACACACACACACACGCGCGTCTTGATGGCAGACACGGGACGGCTGGCGGCGGCGTGCTGATGACCAACCTCAAAGTAGAAGCGCAGCATGAGGGCCAAAGCGCCGAAACAGCAGCCGGGACCGACCTGCTGGGTGTAAACGCGCTTGTCGGGGTACACCGCACGCAGCTCCTTCATCTTCTGAAGCTGACAGGCGGAGGAGGTGGCGAGGACGTCGCGAAGTTGAGGAGAGCCGGGTCAGCAGATGAGGAAGCAGGAATTGGAGAAGGAGGCGAGTATGAGCAAGAG